GAGCAGGTCACGATATGCCAGCACAGCTCCTTTGTCTGAAACTCAGCGCTGATACTTTACATGCCTATCACCTCATGCATTGCCCACACATGCATGGCCTTATCAAAGGCCAATCCAGGCACACACCCAGTTTCTATAGCCTCTGCCTTCTCCGTATCCAAGGAGATAAAACACACAAGACGGAAACAATGACATCGCTCTGAGGACAAGGATGGGACAGGCACTCTCAAGAAGCCTTGGGAAGACAGAAGTGGCTGTCTGTCCCTGTCATGCCACAAATACCTTGAGAGCTTCAGAGCTTTTCCAGCTGCTTGTCTGAAGATTTTTGTTTTTCCTTAGTGAGAAATAGAGAGAACTCACCCCACAAACCCAAACATCCTCATGTTTGAAAGCCTGTATCCTCTGACCTATCCATCTCGAACCAAGAGTTTTCACCGACCTTCTTGAGGAGTGATGTTAATACTTCTGCCTCACTGCAACTGGAGCATGTGGCCTTCAGGGAACCAGACAAGGTTTTTGAAGACTCTTCCAGTGTCAAAGCTGGTCTCTCATTTCATTCCCTACATGAGCACACTCCGCTCAGAGACTTAGGCCCTATTCATCTCAGTGTCCTACAAATACAGGAGAGAAGAGGAAAAAAAACAAGGACAAACCTCCTCCCACAGAGCTCAGGTCTGATGAGACGCAGCACAAGTTGAGGGATAAAGAGTTTTATTGTTCACCTTACTAAGGAGCAACACAGCCACACACACCAGCGCATGGGTCAGGACCTTAACACCTGGCCCAGGGGTCACCAGAGAGCATGGCAGAGTCCAAAAGTTATGCTGCTTTTTGCTCAGTATCATAAGCATTAAAATTGCCTTAAGTCACCTAGTAACTTGCTCTCTCTTGCTGAGATCATTTTTCTCAATAAATGTTAAGTGGAAGGGAGAGGGGTATGTGTCATTTTAATCTTTCCCACTGCAGTGAGGAAAAGCTGTTGGTGGGAAAATTACACTGAGCAATCACCCTTAGGATGTGGGCAAGAAGTGCAAGTGAAATAAGTGTATAAATATACCAACATGACTGTCATTTCCTTCCCTTAACGTTGCCATGGTCACACAAAACAAAGTTGGCTCAACTGCTGAGCCATCACCACTGACTAGCTGCTACACCTCTTGATGAAATGTGAGTTTGTCATCACTCTTGCCTCAGTTTAAATTAATTTAGAAGGATAAAGATAATGGTAATGAAATAATAAGGCTGCAGGCTCTTTCATGGGCAAAGGTCAGCTTAGACCACTCAGGACATGCATGGGAGGTTTTAGAATGCCTTTTTATTTTCTCAATATCTTGAACTTGCATTCCAAGTATGGAAAAATACTTTCACAAGATGATAAAGCATTTCACCAAGTATCAGCCTCCAAAAGGATTACAGAAGTAAACAAAAAAAGTCTGTTTCAAAGGGGGTAAGAAGTGTTTGACTAGTTACAGATTTTTAGATCACTACTTAAACAGTTCTTCAGACAAATGGAAAATAAATTTCTCTTGCAAGATCTTTTGCAGAGATCTAGTTATTTAACTGTATGAATAAAATGGGAAGAGGAAAAGAAGATGGACAAGTGTTGTGAGAAATTTCAGTTAGGATGTTAAAGTTAGAGGCAACATCAAACTATACAAGTTTAAGAAGGGTGAAAACTTACTCAAATCCTTGTCCATTTCTAAGTCAAATATTTTAATACTTTTTTTTTTTTGAGGCTGAAGTAAGTGTATTCACATGCATGATTATGTTTCTGCATTCAAAGGGCTGTGAGCAAAACCAGTTCAAAACATCTTCAGAGAATCCTGGAGCAGGACTTAAACGAACCACTTAGACTCAGTATGTCCTGTTTTCTTTAGTAAGTGAATTAATAAGTGTACTGCACAAGACTGTTGCCAAAGAAAGCAAATATTGTTTTCATTGGCAAGTGAGTTAAAAAAAAACTGAACAGCTCAGACAGCACTGCCTTCAAAGATTGGGCTCCACTCAACTTCTGCCAATCCTGTTGGAAAAAATGAGATCAACATCTGTGGTAAAAGTCATAGCCATTTGCCATGCTAGTATATGTAGGCACAGCATCTTCTGCATTTTGCTGATGATTTGCAGCAGGCCTAGCTGAAATCTGGTGATGCTGCAAAGATACAGCCCCAGAGTGACTTGGCCGATGCCACAGCTCTGGCAGGAGTCAGCATGCTCCACTGACATCATGCTCCAAGCACACAGACCTTGCCACAAGCCTCACTTGCTGCAGTCTACTACTGAAAAAGGAAATGGGTGTGTATTTAAAAAAAGAAACAAAAAACCCCAAACACACAACCAAAAAAACCCCAAAACAAAACAACACTACTCTTAAAACTTGATGGTGTTCATGATCCTCTTCCTTAGCACAATGGACTAGGATGTGCACAGTGTTATGCAGGACAGGTAACTAGGAGTTTGTAGTTTAGCAGTGTGAGGGAACATGTATGTCTCATGTTTCTAAATTCCTCTGCTTGAATATGCAGTGGGCAAAGCCCTTTAAACGAAAGGTCCATGCTTTGAAAAAACAGCAAGCACCATTCAAATAGTCCACTACAAATGACTTATTTGGCTTCATGTTAAAGAAATGAAGAAAGACAAGACTTCTCAAAACAAACAACACGACTCTTAAAACTCGATGGTGTTCATGACCCTCTTCCTTAGCATAATGCACTAGGATGTGCACACAGTGTTATGCAGGACAGGTAAATAGGAGTTTGTAGTTTAGAAACATGAGACATACATGTTCCCTCACACTGCTAAATTCCTCTGCTTGAATATGCAGTGGGCAAAGCCCTTTAAACGAAAGGTCCATGCTTTGAAAAAACAGCAAGCACCATTCATATAGTCCACTACAAATGACTTATTTGGCTTCACATTAAAGAAATGAAGAAAGACAAGACTTCTGGCAAGGGCTTTAAAGTTCCTTTTACACCAAGAAATAAAATTCTTCTAGTATCACCACCACAAGGGGTCAAAACCTAATTTGCAGGCAACAGTTGTTTCCTAGTGCAAGATTTAAGACTAGAGTCACTGCTTAGAGGCAAGGTTTACAGCAGGAAGCTTTCTGCAGCCAGTTTCTCACCAAAGTCTCCTGGTGAAGTTGGTTACAGGTTGGTATCAAAATCAGTTGTGCCAGACTTATGAACTTGCAGCATCAGCATCTTTATAATATCAGTAGAGTTAGGACCAGGATTAGCATTTAGAAGGGGATGCACTCCACCACCAAGATCACTGCCCAACCCTGCAGTCTGACCTCTGTGATGCCCCTTACTTGGACTTTAAAAAGGAGAGTGTGACTTAAATTAGAGACTAGAATTAAGGTTAGTAAAAAAACAGTGGTGGGAGGGACTGAGTTGTAGCAGGCTCCCAAAACATTCCAGGGCTGACTCATATACACTCCACACGGAGGGCAGCCAACCACAGAAGAGCCATTAGTTAGGGTTAAAGCAGCAAATGAGTTTAGGTAAGAGATGGCATCAGTTAATTAAAATATTTGCCCAATACTGACTTAACACTTGACCAACAGTGGATGTCTATCCAGTGACATAGGCTGGACTTGGGGAGAAAGTGTGGTGGTGCAGCTAGTGACAGGAGGGCTGCAGCAGCACGTTTCTTGCTGCATTTAGCTAAGCTTAGTGAGCTGTGTTAAACTCCTGCCCAGCATGTGTAGTGCCCCATGTTTAATTCTGGGGCATTAAGCTAAATTCTGGTTAATGTCCAAGTTAACGACTTGGTCTCCAGGACTGAGTCTCCTGATGAATTAAACAATAGCTCTCTGCAGCCTTACAGCAAAGTCTCAGTGCAGACTCCACCTCACTCCTTTGGTAAGAGAGCCCCCAAGTCTCAAGATTTGCAGCAGAACACCTTCAGAGCCTGGGCAGCAGGAGACAGACCAGATCTCAGCTTAACAGCGTGAGAGCCAGGAGTCACTGCACAGCCCCAGCCCAACCTCAGTCCAAATGGCTCAGGTCACACACTATGCCTTGGCTGAGTTATGAAATAGCTGTAGGACACCACACCACACTCTTGAGCCAAGTAACACACAGCAGCTAGGCGTAAAAGGGAGCACAGCCAAGGTCTGGGCACAGTGTTGCTGCCCACGTGCTACTTCAGGTTCAGATCTTTTCCAACACAGACATACTAACAATTGCAGAGTCAAGCCAGTTTTAATCTGTACTTACTTTGCTAGAAAGACTCGCACAAGATGTGTACTAGGGCCAGAATCCCTGTCACTGCCCCAATGAAAATACAGAGAAATACGATTTATTTTAGGGCAGTCATTGTAGATTCATGCAGCATACTCCTCTTAACCTAGCCCAGGCAATGCTCTTGCACAGGTCACTGTTAATACTACATTTACCTGACAGAGACAGCAGACCAATGAAGCAAGGCTGCCAAAAGGTTACAAAACCAACCTCCTAGACAGGGGTTGCAAGATCTGCTCCACAGATAAAGGCTAGTGTGTCCGTTTTCTTCATGGCTAGACTGCTAGCAAGAACCTACTACTAGAGGAAAACAGAAGACAACAAAACCAACCCCAACAGAAACACTAGGTGAATAATTTTCCTCACCTCTTAAGACCTTTCTTATCTATGAAAATCAACAGGTTTAGCAACAATAGCAATGCTTTATTGAGCCACACCCCGACAGCACCTTCTGTGCCCTATGATAGGCATGAGCATGCAGATAGAGGGAGACAATGCCTCTGATCCAAGCAGTTTGCCCTTGGCCAGGTATCCAACTAGCTCTCCACAGCAGCAGGCTTCTAACCGTGAGGGAGGGAGTCTGTCTCTGAAGATTTCTATGGACCACATGATTTCTACAAGGTATGGGGAACAGCACCATCCCAATGTGACCAGCACAGTGCCATGCTCAGCTCCTTGGACCATCAGGCCAAAAACTGCTCCAAAGTCAGATAAGCATAAGCAGGAACAAGAGCATGCAAATACTCCATTACTTACCTGAGGCTGAGAGGCCAGATTCATCTTATAAGGGTGTGTCTTTCCCTCTTCATTTACAAGTGGTGACCAGACTTTTGACTCTGTTCTGCAACACAAACTTCAAACAGTTAATCTGTTTTCACTACTGAGCATCATTGTTACTAAAAGACTTGAATTTAAATTTAAAAAATCCATCCCCAGTATTTTGTATATAGCACTATCCACACCAGAAGGAACTTAGCCTCATTTTAGGCACATAATTTGGATGTCTTAGTTATTTTGTAGGAGTTCTTGGAGAAAGACAGGATCTCAGTAATGACTGTCCTGGCTTATCCTTGGGACTCCACTAGCAACACATCAAGCATGGGTTCCAATACAGCCAGTAGAGTTGCTGGTCACCAATAGAAGCTGGAGATCTCTTGGAGATGCAGATTACTTAATTTAAGTGGGACAATTCCAATTACTGGTGTTTCAGCTTTTATGTGAAGCCAGGAAGAGGATGGATTCTTGTCTGTATTGACTATACAGAGATAACATTGTTCTAAACTTTTTTTCCCCCCTCTGGAATTTTCTTCTTATTTACTTCATTTATACAGTGGGATCCATGACAGAGGCTTTTGGAAATTATGAAAACAACAAACAAAGGGTCCAAGTCTGCAATGTGACCAAGTACTGAAATAACAATGTGTCAGAGAAAATCTACATAACCTTTGTTGTTGGGTCTGTGGTCTGACCCAATTACTCACAGCATCCCAAAACAGTCAAAATCTGTGACCAAAACCAACTGCATTTACCACTGTTGTTCTGGAGTTTTGCTGTGTCCCAAAGAAAAACAGACAAACTGCTGAGGAAGAAGTAGAGTGCTTAGATTTGCTTGAGATACTTCATGTGAAGCATGCTACCTTTCTCAGAAGTACAGACAGCAGTTCTCAGATGGGCTAAACAGTGCCACTTTTCCTAAACCAAGTTTTAATAGTGTGGAATGAGTGGCTGCATTACCGCTGAATGAAAACTGTTGTGCAACGCTAAACATCGCACCACGCAGTAACCAGATAACTCATCTGAAGAGTTGCTCAGTCTTGAAAACCATGTCCTGTTTTGACAGCAGTCCTTTGTAGAATCTGCGACTGCAGATGGATGCACTTCCCAGATATTTGTGGGTCCAGGGCCAGCTACAATTTAAGTACTTAGTTCGCAAAACAAAAATGCTTTCGCTGAGAATTAACTGGATAACTAAAAAGACTTTAAACAGGAAAGGCTTATAAAACTGACAAGAATGGAGAAACAGGGTATAGACCTACCCACCATAAATTCAATCTGGTCTACACCATTCCTCTAGAAACCCTCCAATGTCAGGACATTTTTTAAACTATGATGCACATGTATATTTCAGAAGTTTAAGGAAATAGTACTTTAAGAATTATGTTTGTAATGTAGCTCAATGGGAGCAGACAGGAAGCAGCATTCTTAACCCTCCAGTGTCAGGACATTTTTTAAACTTAACTCTGATGCACATGTATATTTCAGAAATTTAAGTAAATAGTACTTTAAGAATTATGTTTGTAATGTAGCTCAATGGGAGCAGACAGGAAGCAGCATTCTTGCTCGGGGAAGGGGAGAAATTTATTGACCTGATATTGCATTTACTAAGGTCTGGAGTTTGCACAGAAGGTGCTGAATGAAGTCGGCTGTGCTGTACCTCCTTCCACAGGAAAGTGCCAAGAGACAAGTCACACCCCACATCATCCTTCACAAGCACTCAGACAGAGCAAACCTTTGCCTCCCGGCCATTCCACCCTGCAGGCTCAGCTGCTGTGCAACAGCATACACCACCCCAGCCCTGGCATCTGGCAAGCTGGGCCATGCACAGGCTAACCCATGTGAGTATAACAGCTGCATGGGGTCAGATCCATGCCAATTGGATTATCATCTTGTCTCAACAGCTGCCATTACTGGGTGCACAACATACCCCAGGTGAGTATATAAAACAGCCATTCCCTCTTTGCTTTTGGCAGCCTGTGCTTTCAGGTGTCTTTGGAAACACCCATTTTACCCAGGTCGTGGCTATCAAGCCTGACAAAGTCACAGCCATATCTAGGATGGCTGTATTCTGCACTTGAAGACTTTGTTTGCAGAGTAGAGCAACCTGCTGACCAATGCAAGACTATTCCTTGAAAGCGTTTGGAGATCAAGTGTTTGTGCAACCAAGTTTCATCTCCTCTGGAACAACAGCAGACATAGCAAAATATATGAAAATCAAATATCCTGCCAGACAGGCTGTAACGAAGTAGACAGAGGCTGGAGGAGAAAGGACACTAGCATGCAGCATCTCTGTGCCAGCTCTCACTAGCAGCAATTTAAAGTACTTTTGAGACAGTATTTTCTTTCACAGGAGCTTAATGTCAGATTTCAGAAGCACCAAAAGGCTTTAATTCAGACCAAAAATTTAAGCTTAGAGCAGGCCAATATATGAATATAGAATAGAAACCTCCCCTCATGGCCTCAGGCACTTGCTTTCATCCCACTGCCCCTCACTCAGGGCATGTAAGGTGACACAGCACCTTGGTCTCCAGCCTAGGGGAGGCAGCTATGGCCAACCACTGCAGGCAATGAGTTTTTTTATTTGTTTGGACCATATTTTTCTCCCTTATTTGTCAGCAAGGCAAAAAGCACAAGTTTGTTTCCTGGCCTGCTGCCACTCTGATCTGTCACTGGATATAAATGGAAGCAGCAAGGTCATTCCAGGCTTTACTTTCAATCTAGTTTAAAAGTTATCCAAACAGAAAGGTTAAATAGTGAGCGTAGCTGTCCCTCTAAGGCTAGGAGGATAAAGCTTCCCTTTGTCTTCACAACAGCTGCAGCAGAGCCCTTCAGCCACTCCAAAAGGTCTGTTTATGGCCCCACCAAAGCTGTACAGATGAGACAACCTTGTTCTCCCAGCAGAGCTTTCAAGGTGCACGCCCCATGCCACCACACCACCTGCAGAGCCCATGGTCCGCAGGTCGCTGGTGGGACACTGTGGTCCCAGCTCTCAGCAAGGGTTTTCCTGGCACTGCTGCCTCTGCCTTGGCTTTTACTGAAGTGCAGCAGGAAGAATTCAAGGTGAAATTTTAGGTGCTATTTACATCCCACTACAGGCCTAGGACTTATTTTCCAAAAGGCTGGAAAGCGTGTGGGCACAATGCAAAGATAGTGTTTAGATTCACCATGTTTGTAGGATACATAGAGGTGTGTTCCTATCCTACATGAAACAGAGAACAGGCATCAGAGCAGATAGCTCAAATCCAGCAACAGTGCCTCCAGTTCACACCAGGCTGGCACTGGTAGGACTGTAGGGGTGACTTTCTGGGGTATTTTCTCCCGACCTGAAGAGGAGGACCCCCAGCCACAAAACTGCCTTCACACGTGCCCTTGGTGAGGCAGTAGCCCTGCCACAGAGCATGGCCACTCTAGCAGGGCTGCCAGACCTCTCTCTACCAGGGGCAGGGCTGGATGTCCAACAGCCTCCTGAGGAATCACACCTTGTTTTCAGTGAAAGCCAGAAGGCTTCAGCACCCCCATAGGATCTCAGACTCCTGCTTAAATTGATGAATAGTTATTTCAGAATGGTTTGTAATGCATATTCTTTCAAATGAGACTCCAACAGAAAGCAACACAGTGCAGAAAGAAGACAAAAACATGACACTCAAACACACCTGGGAACAAGTGCCAGGCAAATTAAATGAAGCACACAAATATAAAAACTTCATTTGCAGTTCACATTTCCAAAGAAGACCAAAACATGACACTCAAACACACCAGGCAAATTAATTGCAAGCACACAGATATACAAACTTCATTTGCAGTTCACATTTCCATGCTCTTCCCTTACTACAGGAGGCAGAACAACCAAAACGTGGCCAGGGAATGAGCCCTGCATTTGCTGTTTCATCCAGGCAGAAACCAAGAAATTTATCTGATGCTAGTTTGGACGGAGAGGAACTGGTAGGAAGGGGAGGAAGGAAGCTGCATGCAAGTCAAGGCAGGAATCTGGAGTGGTATTTACAGAATACATTTTCCAAGAAGCTTGGCTTGAGCATGGTATAATATAAACATTACAAGAGCCTAGCTTTTGCTGTCAGTGCTGTGTGTGCAGAGCTGGGCCACAGCTTTGAGTGAAAATTCAGAGTTGAAAAATAAGGGTCTAATTCTGTGTGCCAGGAACTGCATAAATAAGTTGTATAAAGGCAAAAGGTACATTTACAGTCCCATTTCAATCACTGGGATGGAAGCAACCAAGATACCAAAGTAGCAGCTAAACCTATAAAGCTAGAGAAGGTCCTTGTGCAGCATGAAGTTGGAGAGCTGAAAAATGAGAAAGATCTAAAGAAACCCTCTTTCAACCCTTCTCAGTTTTACATCAGCAGTTTAATAATGTTTAGAGACTAACTACAAGAGTTTCCAGGCTACCAGGAAGGTACTTTTTAATCAGCATTTTAGCTGCAACAGCTGCAAAGTACATGCCCTTGGATTTAAACATGAGCAATAACTTTTAGCAACCATCCATTAGTGGATGTACTCACTTTGGTAAGCAAAATCATAGCTGGGCTTCATGTCATTGAATTCAAACAGCATCACATTGCCAATTCAAACAGCAATGCTGGTTCAAAATTCCTAGAGAGAAGAGGTCCCCAACTCATTTCTTTATTCATGGCCCTCTGCTTCTTGCATTTCAGGAATCTTTTCATACAACCATAAAATACAAAAGGACAACTCAGCTGCACAGAAATTAGCAGTTTCAGTAGTTATGAAGGATAAAACACACCTGA